GGCGGATTTCACAACATAATGATAGATAAACTATCGAAGACAGTAATAAAATTATCAATTTTACGTTATTTTCTTCCCTTATTCTTCTTTATTTTGTTGGCAATAATGGCTTCCCTCAGGATATGACAATATCAAATGAGAAATTAAATTGTACCTCATTACAGAACGTACTTGGTTTGTATAGATGGTAAAAAACAATTAATTAATTAATTAAAACCTCCTTTCAAGATTGTCATAAAACGTGCTGAATTGTCTCACCTCAAGTCAATCGGGTCCACCTTCCAGTCGTAAAAACTTTTTTAAATGCTACCTTCTTGCACCCGCAATTAATTCTTTAAATAACATAAAAACTTGCTTAACCACCCCAAAACATTAAACTTAAATTTATTTTAACCTCGACAGATTTCAATATTAAAAAAAATTCATTCCCTCGCTCCAAATTTTAATTAAGTGAGAGTGTGTCTGTAGAGAGAATTAGTTCATTACAGCATTTAGTTTGTACAGATGGTAATAAAAAATAAAAGTTTAACCTTCCGAGACACTCATAAAACCTAGTTCTTGCTGTTGGTGGAACGTAGAAGTGAGCGGTCGACGTCCATTAAAATCAGACGTCATTTTTATTTACGTTGTTTTTTATTTCTATCCAAATACAGAAAGGCGTCTGACAGAACAAAAAAGCTAAAAAAGACCAGGGTGTTTCCGGTCAAACTGTCCATCACCCTGCAGACCTCAACAATAAAATTAAAATTCTACGTATTTTCGTTTTTTTTAAATTTCTATCCAAATAGAGAAACGCGTCTGACAGAACATAAAAGATTTAAAAAAAAAAACACCAGGGTGTTTCCGGTCAAACTGCCCATCACCCTGCATACTTCAACAATAAAATTAAAATTCTACGTATTTTCGTTTTTTTTTTAAATTCTATCCAAATACGGAAAGGCGTCTGACAGAACAAAAAAGCTAAAAAAGACCAGGGTGTTTCCGGTCAAACTGTCCATCACCTGGCAGACTTCAACAATAAAATTAATATTCTACGTATTTTAATTGTTTTTTATTTCTATCCAAATACAGAAAGGCGTCAGACAGAACAAAAAAGCTGAAAACAAACCAGGGGGTTTCCGGTCTAACTGCCCATCACCCTGCAGACCTCAACAATAAAATTAAAATTCTATGTATTTTAATTGTTTTTTTATCTCAATCCCAAATATAGAAACGCGTCTGACAGAACAAAAAAGCTAAAAACAAACCAGGGGTTTCTGGTCAAACTGCCCATCACCCTGCAGACCTCCTAGCGTTGGATTTGAGATTTTTTTATAGATTTAAAGAGAACCAAAGAAGGATAATAATGTAAAGAGGGGCTTTTAAGTAAACGGGTTACGACTTCGTCAGAGGATGACCCTGGCTTTTTTTGCGTTGAGTACGGCATCACAAAGTCCCCGGTCGTAAGTTGTGATAAGATCACGTTGTGTTTGATTTGATTGTATTAGTTTCAATAAGAATACATTTTATAATTTTAGCTATCTGGTAGGATTTGTTAACTTTCAAGTCATTTACTTGTGTGTCGCCATTGGTACTGGATAAATCTAAATTTTCCCAAAGATTTTTATACTTAAACCTGCAATTTAATAGTTAATCACTTCTCACCGTAAATGGGAAATCTCGTATACGTCTTATATGCCAACGGAAATGAAAACGAGAAAACGTGTTAATGATAATCAGGAAGGAAATTTTGCAAATATTGGGTTGTCCGGAAAATAATGCAGGATTTTGGTATTAAACAAAAAAAAAGAAACTAGTTACTTTAAAGCAATGTTCTTTAATCAAAATAATTTCCCATACTCTCAATACATTTCTCCCAACGTGTTGGTAACTTATTAATTCCGTCTGAGTAGAATTCAGAATTTTTAGAATTGATAAAGTCAATAAATGCATTTTCCAGTTCCGTTTGATTTTTGAATATTATGTGTTGTAAGTAGTGGTCCAGGTGTCTAAAAAAATGGTAGTCAGTAGGCGAGAGGTCCGGAGAGTAGGGTGGGTGAGGCAAAGTTTCATAGCCAAGCTCCAATAATTTTTGTGACGTTACACGTGACACATGTGGTCGAGCGTTGTCATGCAACAAAATGGGCCCTTTCCGATTGACCAAAGAGGGCTTCATTACTGCCAATTTCTGATGCATGGTATTAATTTGGTTACAGTATGATTCAGCATTGATGGTTTCGCCAGGATTTAAGAAGCTGTAGTGTATTAAACCAAATGAAGCCCACCATACCGTAACCATTACCTTTTTTTGATGAGTTGGGGGCTTTGGAAAATGTATTGGAGCTTCTCCTTTGTCGAGCCACTGTCCAGAACGTCTAGTGTTATCGTAGAGAATCCACTTTTCGTCACATGTAACAATTCTGGCCAGAAATGGGTCATTTTTGTTTCGACAAAGAAGTGATGCACAAACATCAAAGCGCTGATTTTTTTGGCGATCGTTTAATGAGTGTGGAACCCAATTTTCGAGTTTTTTCACTTTTCCAATCGCCTTGAGGTGGTCAGCGACGGTCGTTTTACTGACTTTGAGTTGCTCTGCAAGTTCTCGAACAGTTGTTTTGGGGTTTTCTTCCACCACTGATCGCAGAACATCATCATTAAGAGAGGAAGGCCTTCCACGACCTTCTTCATCTTCAAGGCTGAAATCTCCCTCCCGAAATTTTTTAAACCACCTTTGCACAGTGCACTCATTAACACAACCCTCGCCCCAGACTTGGTTAATGTTTCTAGCCGTTTGGGCTCCGCTTCGGCCGAGTTTAAACTCGTAAAAGAAAATCGTACGAAATTCTCGCTTTGACATTATAAGGATGACTGAATTATTTCCAAGTAGCGGAATGCTACAGAGGTAAACAAACAATATCATTTGGAAGAGGATTAATAAGTGTTGACATTCATAGTAATCCTGTAAACGTAAACAGAATATTTTATATAGATTTTTTTTAATGAAAACTTAAAATCCTGCATTATTTTCCGGACAACCCAATAGTATTGTTTTTTTAAATAATTATATCATTAATTAAAAATAAACCTTGATACATATCCAAGATTCGATACGACGTGACACATAAACTCTCATTCCGATTACACATCCTTGATCTATAATAACGATGATAATGCATCGTCCTAGAATGAATCACGGAAAACAGATAATTTATTCGGCCCATTTCCACATGGTTGATTAATGTCCAAAGCGTATGTACAAAATCAACAGACTCCAGTTGGAAATGACGGATGGGAATCTAATGATCAATTTCGAGAGGTGTGTAATTAAATTAAAGTGGATAAGATGTGAATAACTGATATTGATCGGTACTGTCAACACATCCAGTGTTACTCTGGACCGTGATCTTTTTAAAATTTGAAAAATAAAAGAGATGAAAATGCATTTTTTTTACATTTCATTGTTGAAATATTGTACATAATAAATCAAAGTTTCAACGTTCAGGTGGATATTTGTTGTTTATTAAAATTTTATTTGCTGTCTTAATGTGCAATCCTAATAACCATATTCAAGTACTTTATAACGATTATCAGGAGCTATTAGCCTGTTGGAGCAATACCTCTTTCTATATTTGGAATCATGGACCTATATGATTTATGAATGTGGGAAAACGAACTGCGAACAGGAAATCGATAGCAAGTAACATTGTTAGTCGTTCGCAAGGGTCATTTTTGACTCCATCCTGGCTCACCACAGGATCAGTGGGTACAACATGGGATCAAAATCACAAAACCTATTAACTTTGGACCGCTTTAAAGACAGTGTCTATGTCCTGGCGGTTCTTCTTCTCAACTTGAGAGAAAACTCCAACTATTCTTCTGCTTTAGGTTTAAACTACGCAGATCCATCGAAACACGATCAACAAAACGCGATTTCAAGGTAAAAATCTCGTTTTGCATTGTTTCAGCTGCAGTCGTGTATGCTTAGGGTTCAAAAAAATATAATTGACCGTATGACGAAACTTCACCCTTACGTGGAAACAAATCCGACATGAATCGTGAATCTGTCCTTGTATTTTGTAAACAGTAAGGTTCAACTAATTCCTGTCCTCGTGGCAGAAAATGAGGCAAATGCCAAAAGGTACTTTTGGCTTGAAAATGGTTATGTTTGTATTGTAAAAAGTTATAGTTGACTTAGAAATGGTTACATTAGACTGGAAAAGGGTTAGATTTGACATGGAAAGAGTTACATTTCATATGTAAAGTGTTACATTTGACTTGAAAATAGTTACTTTGGCTCGGAAAGCGTTACATTTGGCTCGGAAATGGTTACATTTGGCTTGGAAAGGGTTACATTTGACTTGGAAAAGGTTACATTTGGCCCAGAAAGGGTTACATTTGACTTGGAAAAGGTTACATTTGGCTCGGAAAGGGTTACATTTGACTTGGAAATGTTTACTTTTGGCATGGAAAAAGTTACATTTGACATGGGAAGAGTTACATTTGAAAAACTTGGAAAGGGTAACATTTGATATGTTAAAAGTTTGAATGCAAAGTTTGTACAACTCGACTTTGAAAATGTAGAAACAGATTTGGAAATGCTATATTGCAGATTACAAGTGTAGGTGAGATATAAGTAAAAATCTACATTCACCCACAAACACGTTTTCTTTTATACACATCAAAATGGAAATGGAAATGCTGATATTACAAAAACATCACGTAAAATCAACTAGACTAACATCCTTTTTTTTCGATACATTATTGTAGTAATTTAATTAACAGAATTTTTAGGCTTTAATGTTTTTATTTTTATGTTATATTAACGTCGTTTTTTAATCTGTTATTCATTGTTTAAAAGCATTTTTTGAACAAAATTGATCGATTATTGATTTAGTTTTAATGATTTCGTTCATGAAAATGCTAATATCTAAAAAATTATATTTTATTTTTTATTAATCCATCTTTATATTTTTCTATAAAGTCTTTAATTTCTTTCTAATATTTTGATGATGAGGACTTACTGGAATCCGGTTAAAATGTTGAGCAAACTTGATTTTCCGGCTCCTGACGGCCCCATGATGGCTGTCAGCTCGCCGGATCTGAACGTGCCGGATACACCTCGCAGCACCATTTTGCTTTCTGCAACAACATCAAACAAACATTTGACATAGAGAAAACAATCGTGTCTTGCGATTAGGATTTAACAGGAAACGTTTAATTTTTATCGATCGAACAGGGCTGTAATGACAAGATAAATTTAGACATCGAAAACTATGCCCTCATCAAGGCCAACTCCAACAAGCATAAATGCGCATTAACTCGGAATAAGAACGAGGCCGGAACGTTCGCTTCCTTCACATCAGGACGAAGGACGTGCATCTCCCAGAAAGTAAGATTTGGTAACTACAAAATGAGAAACTAGATTTCGAGAAAAATACTAAATCTACGTGAGGAAAATGACAAGGATTGTGCCTTCCAAGCGGAATCATAATCCCTCTCATGATCCTTTCTCTCTAACGAACTTAAGAAATGTCTATAAGCGTGAAATGATGCAACGTGAAACAATGATTTAGTCATTAGGAATTCAATCTCACTAAGGTCGACTAGTAAAAGCGCCACTTTTCTAAAAATAAAAATAAAGAAAGAAAGCAAAATCAACAAATTTATGCATAAACAAGTAAAAAACATACAATAAGGTGATTTGGATGGCATATCTTTTATTTTTATGAAGTTATGTTTATAATTAAAAAACAATATTTACAGTTCCTTCTGTATTTTCTAAATTCTATATATATTTACAGATTTTTAACTTTTTAGAAAGATATGTAGTGTTTAGTGACCGTTAGGCGATGATTATTCGGAGATCGTGAGATGCAGTCTGGTGTGACGTAGGCTTTAGAAAAAAAATTTTTTTTGGTAAAAACAAAATGAATTTATACAATGCTAGAAAATTTTAGATTCAATGAAAATATTTGTACTGAAATACACGAGAACAAATACTTTGATTGAATCTAAAAACAAATTTGAGCATTGTATAAATTCATTTTTTTAATCAAAAATTTTTTGCATTGTATAAATTAATTTTTTTAATCTAAAAATTTCTAGCATTGTATAAATTAATTTTATTTATTTATTTATTCTTTTAATCTAACATTTTCAGCATTGTATAAATTCATTTTTTATCAAAATTTTTCTAGCATTGTATAAATTCATTTTTTTAAATCCAAAATTTTCTAGCATTGTATAAATTCATTTTTTTAATCTAACATTTTCTAGCATTTTATAAGTTAATGTTATTTATTTTTTTTTAATCTAAAATTTCTAGCATTCTATAAATTCATTTTATTTATTTATTTAATCTAAAATTTCTAGCATTGCATAAATTCATTTTTTTTATCAAAAATTTTCTAGCATTGTATAAATTCATTTTTTTATCAAAATTTTTCTAGCATTGTATAAATTCATTTTTTTTAATCTAAAATTTCTAGCAATGTATAAATCCATTTTTTTACTCTAAAATTTTCTAGCATTGTGTAAATTAATTTGATTTATTTATTTATTTTTTAATCTAAAATGTCTAGCATTGTATAAATTCATTTTTCAATCAAAAATTTTCTAGCAATGTATAAATAATTCTTTTTAAATCTAATATTTTCTATCATTGTTTAAGTTAATTTTATTTTTTTATTTATTTTTTAATCTAAAATTTCTAGCATTGTATAAATTCACTTTTTTACATATCCTACATGTATTTGTTAAATGTAAACAATGTTTAAATCCCAGGCCCTGAAGATGAACTCAATAAAGCTCGAAACGTTGGCACGATAAAAAAAATATTTTTCTGAAACTTACGTCACGCATTTCACGATCTCGGAAGAATTTTTAGAAAGATTTTTTTTGAGTGTTAGAGTTGTGGATTTTGTTTTGACAAGTTAAAAGCATGATTCAAATTTCAAACAGATCACATAGAAATAGTTAAATTTGTAGACTTTTTTCATGGAAGTGACAGCGGCATTGTCCACGTACCCGATGGGTCAGGTCGGGTTCGAATTTTCGTAAAACCGTTAGGCAAACGTTGCAGGGGACGTGGGATCTAACCATAAGAGACGAAAGGTCTTTCCTCCATGTTGGCCAATTGGATGAGGCAACACTAACCGGAGCCCCTAAACTTTAGGCCTATCCTCCGACCCGCGAGACTTACAAATACTTGCGCCAGAGTCTGCATAAGAGAAGTCTCGGCCGTTGTGCAATGCGATTTACTTGTGCCCCAGTCTCAGAAATATGGCATGTCACATCAAATAACGCGAACCTCGTAACAGACTCATTTGAGTCAGTCGCTAGCGCAAAATTACGAGTCACGACGTCTTTCGTTAACACCGATAGTAGAGATGTTTTGCTTTTCCTGCCTAAGATTCTTCACCAGTTTTATGCCAAAAGTTTACATATAAATAACATATGTACATGCATAGTTGGCGCATGGTTACTTACATGAATTTGTGTAACAGGCAATTATAAATTCAGCAGATTTTAAACGATTTTCAAGAGATTAAATATTCAATCTTTTAAAATTTATATTTTCTGTTATAGTTATCCCTTGTCACCGCCGGACGATACTCACAAACATATTACACAAAATAAAACAACTTTAAATACAATGGGCAAACATAAACGCCAAATGACCTGGAATGAGTAATGAACATCAGCCATTCTCGCAGTTTTTTTAAATAAACTTTCTAGACTTAGCAATCACAAAAACAGACGACAAACTACAATTTGATTGCAGAAAACCGATAGCAATTGACATAATACACGCCGACTAAAATCACACACACTGACGCAAGTACGAAAACGAATTAAAAAGAATACACACCAAAGCAGACAAAACGTCTATAACAACCACAATCAACCAGATAATAAACAAAAAGAAAGCAACACCTGAAAATTAACTGAAATAAAAAAGGAAGCAATTCAGCTATAAAGAGTTATGTATGCTTTGGAAAGGGTTTTAGCTCAGCTCGAAATGGTTATTGATTTAAAAATGGTTACATCTGACGTGGAAAGGGTTACATTTGACTTGGAAAAGGGTTACATTTAACTCGAAAATAATTAGTTTTTGATTGGAAATGGTTACATTTGGTTTGATAAAGGTCACATTTCACTTAGTTACATTTCATACGTAAAGTGTTACATTTGACGAGAAAATGTTTATATTTGGCTTGGAAACAGTTACATTTGACTTGAAAATAGTTGCTTTGGCTCGGAAAGGGTTACATTTGACTTGGAAAAGGTTACATTTGGCTCGGAAAGGGTTACATTTGACTTGGAAAAGGTTACATTTGGCTTGGAAAGGGTTACATTTAACTTGGAAAAGGTTACATTTGGCTCGGAAATAGTTACATTTGACTTAGAAAGGGTTACATTTAACTTGAAAATAGTTACATTTGGTTTGAAAATGGTTACATTTTACTTGGAAAGTGCTGTCTACATTTGACATGGAAAGGGTTACATTTGACGTGATAGGGTTTACATTTGACATGGGAAGAGTTACATTTAACTTGAAAATAGTTAATTTTTTAGCTTGAAAATGGTTACATTTTACTTGCAAAGTACTTTTTTTATTTGGAAAGGTTTACATTTGGCTTGAAAACGGTTACATCTGACTTGGTAAGAATTACATTTAACTTGATAAAGGTCACATTTCACTTGCTAAGGGTTACTTTTGACGTGGAAATGTTTACATTTGGCTTGAAAAGGGTTACATTTAACTTGAAAATAGTTACTTTTGGCTTGAAAATGGTTACGTTTTTCTTGGAAAGAGTTACATTTGACTTGGAAACATTACAGTTGACGTGGAAATAGTTAATTTGACGATTTAATGACGATGATTTATTAGGAAGAGGTTACACATGACTTGGGAAAAGTTCAAATAGACTTAGAAATGCTTTTATTTACTTGACTGAAATATTCCCACTTGATACATATTTGCATTTAAACACGATTTTATATATCAAAGTCGAAATGGAAATGTTGATATTACAAAAACATCACGGAAAATAATCTGGATTAACAGACTTTTTTAAATATATACACAAATATATAATACATAGAAACCTAAAATGATACAGTATTTTACTACAGTATTTTACAGTACTCTTAGGCTTTCATAGTTATATTATACTTATTATTTTGACAAAAAATGAACCGCATTCATATACTTTGGAAAAGAAAAGTACAAACTAACTTATTCAGCAAATTATGCATAAAAACAGCATTAAGAACCACAATAATTATAGTTAAATTATTATCACAAAACATCCAAAAGACAGACCAACTAAAATAAAATAAAATATACTCATACCGAATGCTAGCTAATACAACGATCAGGCAGGTCGAATTAAAAAAAAAAAAAAGATACTAGATATCAAATCATTTGGGAGTACGAAAATCAAACTTCGCGACTAAAATGAAATAACCGATAACCATTTACAGTACAAACAAGTATGAAACTACTACACACAAAACAAAAAATGACAGGAAATGAACATAATCGAAAACTTAGAAATATATAAACATAACACATTCAAAACCAAAAAGCTATAAATACACAAATTAGCGAAAGAATGAAGACAGAAAATAGAAAAAGACCAACAATAAAACAAGCGCTGATTTAATCCGTCAAACACACCTGCAAATAATACTAATATCTGTATAGCCACAACACTGAAGATGGCGAAATATTGAAACGTGTCTGAACCAACGGAGACCACAGGACGAAATCTTAAATTTTTTGTTTTCTGAAATTTTTATCAATACTGAATCACCTTAGACTGAAGTTGTTCTTGTTTTAAAACAAAATCTTTTTCTGAGATGAAGGTAAGTAGTTAAATATTGGTTGTTTATTATCACTTTTAAGTTTGTTAAAAGTTCTCATGTAAGAAAAAAAACAGGCTAAAATTTTTTCTAAATTTTTATTATTCTTTTGTAAAACGTCTCGAGTCCAAATTTAAATCGAGTTTTTTTTTCGTTCGTTCTACGCCGATGTATTTAGAAAATTGAAACGTGTTTATCCCCGTGGGGAAATCCGCGGGTCCTGTGCGTAATAAACTATGCAAAATTGCCTTCCCTTTAACGCTCCTTCA